ATGGGAGGAAGTCCAAAACCTTCGTCTCTAAAACTCGCAGATTCCTGCGCAATTCCACTGTCAATGACACCAACAACATCATCACTCTCAACAATGGCACTTCTATTGATTTTCTCATTGAAGCCCATAAAGTCCCAAGATCTCTTAGTTTGAAGTTCGAGCTGGTTTGGTATTGCTGTGCTTTAAAAAAAACTGCTGTGAGAATAAGCGGCCATGAAATAAATCAGCAGAGTGTTTGGTAAACTTTTTTTGTAAAAGTGCTTTTGGAAAAAAAATAAACAATCTGATAGTGGGTCTTTTCATTAAAGGAGCACTGTAACTCCGTGTGCTTTGAAAAAAAGCCAGTTTTCCAAAGCTGCAAATAGCAGCTTCAACTTTGTCCTTTGATTTCAGCTTATTCTCACAGCAGCTTCCAAAATAAGCATTTTTTTTTCAGTTTACCAAACACTTAAAACCCTCACAACTTTTTTTCATGGGTGTTTTTTGTAAGAACCTCACTCCCAAACCACCCCTTCGTAAGTTCTGCTTGGAAAGACGGACACTGCTATTTCCTTCATATCTGTAGTTCGCAGTTTATAAACAACAACAACAACAAAGCCTTTTCTCACTAAGTAGGGTCGGCTATATGAATCCTAAAACGCCATTGTGCTCGGTTTTGTGTCATGTCCTCCGTTAGATCCAAGTACTTTAAGTCTTTTCTTAGAGTCTCTTTCAAAGTTTTCCTAGGTCTTCCTCTACCCCTTCGGCCCTGAACCTCTGTCCCCTAGTCACATCTTCGAACCGGAGCGTCAGTAGGCCTTCTTTGCACATGTCCAAACCACCGTAACCGATTTTCTCTCATCTTTCCTTCAATTTCGGCTACTCCTACTTTACCTCGGATATCCTCATTCCTAATCTTATCCTTTCTCGTGTGCCCACACATCCAACGAAGCATCCTCATCTCCGCTACACCCATTTTGTGTACGTGTTGATGCTTCACCGCCCAACATTCTGTGTCATACAGCATCGCCGGCCTTATTGCCATCTTATAAAATTTTCCCTTGAGTTTCAGTGGCCTACAACGGTCACACAACACGCCGGATGCACTATTCCACTTCATCCATCCAGCTTGTATTCTATGGTTGAGATTTCCATCTAATTCTCCGTTCTTTTGCAAGATAGATCTTAGTTAGTGAAAACGGTAACTCTTTGGTATTTCCTGATCTTTGATCCTCACCCCTAACTCATTTTGGCCTCCCTTTGCACTGAACTTGCACTCCATATATTTTGTCTTTGATCGGCTTAGGCGAAGACCTTTAGATTCCAACATTTCTCTCCAAAGGTTAAGCTTCGCATTTACCCCTTCCTGAGTTTCATCTATCAACACTATATCGTTTGCGAAAAGCATACACCAAGGAATATCATCTTGAATATGTCCTGTTAACTCATCCATTACCAACGCAAAAAGGTAAGGACTTAAGGATTGTTGATGCACAAAATTAGTGAGAACTTTGGTACAACAGAAAGTATTAAGTTTGTGATCTTCGCTAGATTGATCCGGTCATTAGTGTGGATAAGTATGTAAATGGATAGAGACAGGCAAGCAAACACAAGATGTACGTGGTTCACCCATATTGGCTACGTCCACGTAGTAAAGGAGTTCTTATTAATTGTGAAGGGTTTACACAAGTACATAGGTTCAAGCTCTCCTTTAGTGAATACAAGTGAATGATTTAGTACAAATGACATTAGGAAATATTGTGGGAGAATGATCTCGTAATCACGAAACTTCTAGTACCGAAGTGTGGTATCGTCTTCACTTGCCTTATCTGTCTCATAGGTAGATGTGGCATCTTCTCTGGAAGTACTCTTCCTCCATCCAGGGGTGGTATCTTTAACTGGTGGAGATGCACAAGGTAATGTATCAATTTCACTTGAAGCTTACTTGTAGTTTCAGGCTTGGTCAAGCGCGATACAAACCATGTAGTAGGAGTCCCCCCAAGTCGCCGAGCTAGGGGATCTGCTGAAAGAGGTGACAGACAAGGTAAGCAATCAGAGCTCCAAGCAATCAGTCCCAAATCAGAAGTTTGATTTCGAGTTCCGGCTAATTGTTCTCATTCTCCCTATCTTGCAGGCAGCATAAAGGATAAAGAGAAGAAAATGAGAAGAGATGATATGAGATACTTTTGCTCGAACCAGAGCAAAATGGTTGTGTGGAACGTAAGCATCAACACATAACCATTCTCCCACAAAATGGTTGTGTGGAACGTAAGCATTGACACACTAGAGCAAAATGGTTGTGTGGAACGTAAGCATTGACACATAGTGGAAACTGCTCGAACCCTTTTAGCTGCCTCTCATGTTCCCCATATTTACTGGGTTGAAGCCTTCTCTACATCAGTGTATCTTATCAACCGATTGCCTACTATGTCTAGATCCTGCCATTGGGAAAATTGTTCAACAAGTCTCCAGATTATACTACACTGAAAGTGTTTGGGTGCAGGTGTTTTCCTTGGTTAAAACCTATGTAACTTCCAAACTTGAGCCTAAAAGTAAGCCCTGTGTCTTTCTTGGCTATAGTCTCAATCATAAGGGTTATCGGTGTCTTGATATTCAATCCCGCAAGGTCTATATCTCGAGACATGTTATATTTGATGAACTGACTTTTCCATTTCATCCAGTCTCTCAAGATTTACCTGTCATAAACTCACCTCTTACCCCTTCTTCTTCAATTCCTTCCACTCTTGTCTTCACCAAACTCCCTCCAACTCCTACTTCTTCCCCACTTCTACACCATGTTGCTGCTTTATCTAATCCAAATTCCTCCCCTTCCCCACCCACCTCCCTCACCTCTCCCACTTCTAACTCTCCTCATTCTTCACCTATACAACCATTACCACCTCAGAACACTCACCCTATGCAAACCCGATCCAAATCAGGTATTTTTAAGCCTAAGGCTTATTCAGCCACTAACCACCCTCTTCTTTCTCACATATCTCCTGATTTTCTTCCCACCACGTATCTCCAAGCCTCAAAACATTCTCACTGGAGACAGGCCATGCATGAGGAATTCAATGCTTTGGTTAATACCAATACTTGGTCTCTTGTTCCTCCTCATTCATCTCAAAATCTTGTTGGATGTAAATGGGTTTTTCGCATTAAAAGGAAAGCTGATGGCACTATTGACCACTATAAAGCACGGCTGGTCGCAAAAGGTTTCCATCAACATGAAGGTTTGGACTACACAGAAACCTTCAGTCCTGTTGCTAAACCAATTACTATCCGGCTTCTTCTCACTCTTGCTTCTAAGTATGACTGGTTTCTAAACCAGTTAGATGTCAGTAATGCATTTCTGCATGGAACTCTCTCTGAAAATGTATTCATGCAGCAACCCTCTGGTTTTCAAGATCCTACTAAGCTGAATCATGTTTGCAAGTTACATAAAAGTCTTTATGGCCTCAAGCAAGCTCCGCGTGCTTGGTATGAGAAACTTCATGGTGCACTTCAATCTATGGGATTTTGTGGTTCACAGAATGATCATTCACTCTTTGTCAAGAAGGATCCTTCTCTGGTGTTTATCCTTGTATATGTGGATGACATTTTAGTCACCGGTCCATCTTCCCAAGCTTGCAAGGATACAATAGCTCAACTCAGTGCTCTCTTTCCGGTCAAGGATCTGGGTTCCCTTCATTTTTTCCTTGGCATCAAAGTTCATAGGTCCTCTTCTGGAATCTTTATCTCTCAAACCAAATATATTCTTGATCTGCTTACCAAGACCAACATGGCCGGTGAAAAACCATGTGCTACACCACTTAGTACATCTAAGCTGGATCACTCTTCTCCCTTGCTCTCTAATCCCGAAGAATACAGATCTATTGTCAGTGGCCTGCAGTATCTTACTTGGTCCCGACCTGACCTTTCCTTTGCTGTTAACTTGGTTTGTCAATTTATGCATCAACCACGACAATCCCATTTCCAGGCAGTCAAACGCATATTGCGCTATCTGAAAGGCACACTTGAGCTTGGTCTCTGGTTTCCAAAAACCTCAGGTTCTCTCACTATTAATGCCTTCTCCGATGCATATTGGGTAGGGTGTCCACTGGATAGAAGATCTACAGGTGGTTATTGCATTTTTTTTTTGGAAACTCTCTCATTAGTTGGAGTGCTAAAAAGCAACCAACCGTGGCTCGTTCCTCCACTGAAGCAGAGTATTGCTCCTTAGCAAACACCGCTGCTGAAATTACATGGCTTTGCAAGTTACTTGTTGATGTTGGTGTCTCTCTATCTTGTTCTCCTACATTGTGGTGTGATAACATTTCCAACGCTGTAGAGATTGACTATCACTACATCCAGGAAAAGGTTCTTTCCAACGCTGTCATTGTTCAGTTTGTGTGTTCCCAGGACCAAATTGCGGATATTTGTACCAAATCTCTGTCCACTTCTCGGTTTTTACTTCTTTGAGACAAACTATCACTTCGGTTGCCTACGTTCAATTTGAGGGGGCATATTAAGGATAGTTTATCTTGATTTTCTGTTGTAATTTTCTTGTAATTAGTTGTAGGACATATAGGATTGTTGTGCTTAGTTGGCAAGTGTATAGCTTCTTAGTTGGCAAATGTATAGCTCTATATAAACCATTGATGTACTCTAATTATTTTTCAATGAAACAGTTTTCCTAATATATCGATGCTATTAGTGGTGGACGGCGGCCCATCTGTCTAAAACTTTAACATAAATACCAGCTGTAGAAGGATCGTACCTGAAAACAAATTCCGATAACTAAACAAGAGTAAAACAAAGGATATATAGTAAATAAAAAATGAACCTCAATGCGACGAAGGATACAAACAACAAACAAAGAACAAGAAAGAGGAAGATCAGAATGCGAAACAAGAGCAGAAGTTCATTCCGAAGATGATTACGGACAATTTCTTTTCCCATAAAATTCGAAACAAGAGTTTATTTAAAGAATGTACGAGTATAAGAGCTTTATGCAGCCTATGGCCACATTTTTCCAACATGCATACATCATTTGCCATTGAACACATAAACAACAATTGGACTTCTAACGCTGTGAACACCATCAGTCCAAACCAGCGATCCTGACACTTGAGATTGATCTGGCAAACCGCTTCCAGTGACAATCACATCAAAAGTCCTCTCCTCGTTCAAAGACTCGAACGAAAGAACTTCAGGAACCACTTTGATATCAACTTTGGAGTTCGAGGAGATCCTGGCCCTGTAAGTAGAGTTTAGGAGGCCAACATTATTAACTCTTCTATGAAAATTCACTGTAAAAGGCTCCATTTCTGCAACTTTAGCTCCCATTGAAGGGTAATTAAGATCCCTTGCATACCCTTTTTCCGAACCTTTAGGGCACGTGCTGTTATCTCCTGATATGAGTCTAACTTTGCCTTCATCAAACACTGTGCACAACAACTTTATATAATCTTCTTCTGAAGCTTCATACACAAGCCCCGGGTTTACAGCTTCTACAGGATTGATATGCCCAGATCCATAAGCAAATTCACCGGTAGAATTGTTGGTACTATTCATGGTCCAAGCTATATGCACACAAAAAACTCAATAGATAATTTCAGAATTTAATGATTAATATGTGACAATGACAAATGAAGCAACTGCTATTATCATGAAAATATATACCAGTTGTCATAAGAGATGATTTGATGGCTGCCGGAGACCAATCAGGGTGGAATGCTTTAACATACGCGGCTGCACCGGCTGCATGTGGGCTAGACATGGAGGTTCCAGATAACAAGTTGTATTTTACACGCCTCATGTCTTCATCATATTCTGAGATAGAGGCAATAGGTGAATATGCAGCCAAAATTTCAGAACCCGGTGCACTAATATCTGGCTGAAAAACATTAGACCGCAATTGTTATTACCATAACTACATTTATTTAACTGATATTAGAATGTGCGAAGAAACATATACCTTAATAATATCAGGAAAAAATCGATTTGGTCCACGTGAAGAGTAGGAAGCAACAATAGGTGCAGAAGGGTCTTTTATGACTTCGCTTTTAAGTATGTTCGCCCGAGGGTTTCTATAAAATAAGAGAAACAAATCAAAATATAAATAGAGAATTCATGATGAGAGACAGTAACTTCATCAGCAGTATTCAAAAGAGTGTACACCTGGTGGAGTTCATGTAGGACTTGACCGCATCATGGTCTTCATCCATTAACACGGTTGAAGGGATTAGGGGAACATTAAACGCTGTTCTGTCGTTTTCATGTAAAAGTGAACCAAATGCATTGGCTTCGTAAGCCATATAATCTCCGTATTCAGCATCGCATACCACTATCTTTCCCTTTACAGAATCACTGTCCAGGCAACCTTCACGACAGAGTCTGATGTGCAACAAGTGAGTAGTTTAGCTACAGAATAAGTGAACTATATCTTTTCCAGTTAAAAAGAAATGGGCACAAGAATCACCCCGCATTTAGTTGAGTGCAATTTTTTGTCGCAGCATCTTTTCCATATATTAGAGGAAAACTTGTTCCATTTGTTGTGAAAGTGTTGACGGAATTCCCCTGGTTGGGTAAAGTTCATCAAAAATCAAGTAGAATATACAAGTACACAAATAAAAGTATTTCATGGATGAAGGACGTTGATGAGACTTACAACAAGTGTCTTTCCGTTAGCAAGAACAACCTTGTCAATGATATGGCGATCTATGGTACTAGCTGCAACGAGCAATACCCATGGTGCAAAATCTGACGAAGTAGCGGGTCCGGGACCTTCATTGCCTGCTGACTGTGTGGTCAGTATCCCTTTCTTCATTGCATGAAAAGCACCAATTAACATAGGATCCTCATCAAATCGAATCCCCGAATCAGCTCCCATTTGAATCATAATGACATCAACTCCATCAGCAATAGCATCATCAAAGGCAGCCAAGATACTTTCTATTCTGCACGTATTAGCACAGACTTTGTATGCTGCTATTCTTGCAGAAGGAACACCTCCTCTTGCAGTACCATTTGCTAGTCCATAAAAGCTTACGTCCTTAACAGCATTGCCTGCTGCGATTGAGGCAACGTGAGTTCCATGGCCGTCTTCATCCCTTGCTGACTCCGTGTCGTAGAATCGAACTCCAATGAGCTTGCTACAAAATAAATATTGAAAAAAAATTGGCACTTTTCACAAACACTTACAATATCACTAAGTCAGTGATGAGAAGTGAGGGAGCCTACTTGTTGCAAGTGAAATTTTTTCCACCTTCACAAGCACCTTTCCACCTCTTGGGAGGAGGACCAAAACCTTCATCTTTAAAGCTCTCAGATTCCGGCCATATTCCACTGTCAATAACCCCCACAATTATATCACTCTCAACCAGAGACTTTCGACTGGTTTTCTCATCTAAACCCATAAAGTCCCAAGATCTCGTCGTGTGCAGTTGGAATGTTGTGCTTGGAAAGACAGATACAACTTCTTTCATGCCTGCAATTCACAGTTTATAAACATACTAAATTTTCAAGCCAATTCATTTTACTCTTTTCGAATGACATAAGAAAGTATCTCACAACACTCACTAGCAAGTTTCTCTCTTTCCTCGTCAGTGAGTTTGGCAGCAAACCCATTGAAACTCCTTTTGTAACTTCGTACCAATAAATTTTCCGGTGAACTGGGAGGGCACGAAAGGACCATAAGAACTAGGTTTGTGACTAAAAAGACCAAAAGAAAATTCAATTTAAATACCTAACGTCTAGATAGACTACCTGGTCTGAACAACTCTCTGCAGAATACTATGGTGGTGATTCAAGGGCGAGAACTCCCTGTCAGGAAGAGACCCCAAGTACACGATATGAACCTGCATCGCCATCATTGAAATTCCCTATCAAAATTACTATTGCTCAAAGATTTGTCATGAAAGGGGAACGTTTTATTATTAGTGGTAAAAGACTATAGTTTTTTCTTTTAAAAGATAGAAAAAGGATTAGTCGAGATTAACTCCTCATATTAGCTCCTCGGAACTGTTCATGTAGAGTGCAAAGCATCCACCCCTCCCCCAAATATTAATTCAAAATAAAGGAAACAGCTAGTCAGGGGACAATTGTTTTGCTGCACAAATAACTCGTACCTTTCTATCCTCGTCAGTCGCCTTGCATAATAAGCTCGTACTCAGGATAAAAATGGAGAAAGCATAAGAAAAAAGAAGAGCTGCGTTCTTAGCCATTTTTCTGTTCTCCAAATTAACTTCATGGCTGAAGAGTGTAATACATATACTGGGACTACTTATTGCACCCAGATTTTCTTTAATTAAGGGGCCAGAAAATTTTCCTTTCAAGCAAAACTCCAGACAAGTTTCCTTTCAGAAAAGCTTGGATTTGGCTAACCCTCGAAGACATGCAGAGAAGGATTCAGTAACGGCAGCAACCAGCATTTACTGCTCCAAACACATACGCGTGAGCTGTAACAATACTTGGGCTTTGCTTTTTGCAATAAGAAACCCATTGTTAAATTAAAGTGTGCAAATACGAGAGAAAAAGTTATGGTAGTTGGAACATGTAAACTGAAGACCTACAGATGCTTCGGTTAGAAAATGAGTTTGTGAGACAAAAGCTCAGGGCAAAAGAGATAGAGGAAAAGATTTGGAAATAGACTTTAAGAAAAGACATGGAGTATTTGGAGCTAACGGAAGACTAGACGCAAAATCAAGCATAATGACATTCTAGAATTCATACAACTGACCCCACTTAGTGAAAGAAGACTTTGTTATTGTTTGTTGTAAATACAAGGGGAGAGTTTTACATATGTAACCGGGAAGAAAGTCCCTCCTCTCATTTAGCACTCGAAAACAAGAACGCTGAAAATTTCATCAACCGTTAATAACCATTTTATTTTTAGTTTTAGTTTTTATGGAGAAGTGGGTTTAGCCAAGTTGGGCTAGAGCTCCTAGAATCAAATATTCTTAAGGTAATCTCTTCTTTATTAATACTAACCTCTTGCAATTTGCTTTCTGGTTACAGGGTATAACGTAAGAGAAGGAATTGCAACAAGAAACCCATTAGACCAAATTCGCCAGCACATACATGAACAAACATTTGAATACAAAAACAACAATTGGACTTCCAACGTCGTGAACACCATCAGAACAAACCAGCGATCCAGACACTTGTAATCAATTTGGTAAATCTCTTCCAACGACGATCATATCAAAAGTATTCTCCTCGTTCAAAGACTCGAACCGAAAGAACTTCAGGAACCAATTTGATGTCAACTTTGGAGTTCAAAGAGATTTTGGCCTTGTAGGTAGAGTTTGGAGTAAACATTTTTTACTCTTCTATGAAATTTAACTGTAAAAGGTTCCTTTTCTGCACCTTTAGCTCCCATTGAAGGGTAATTATGATCCTTTGCATGTCTTTTCTCAGATCTTTTACGGAATGTGCTGTTATCTCTTGATTTGCGTCTAACTTTGCCTTCATCATACATAGTGCATAGCAACTTTATGTAATCTTCTTCAGAAGCTTCATACACGAGCCCCCGGGTTTACAGCTTTTACAGGATTGATACGCCACGATTCATAAGCAAATGCACCAGCGGAAATGTTGTTGCTGGTATCATTCTTTATGTTTATAATGCGACAAATGAAACAATTGCTTTTGTCGTAAAAATTTATACCAGTCGTCATAAGAGAAGATTTGATGGCGGTGAGAGACCGATCAGGAATGCTTCAACATATATTCAGCTGCACTAGCAGCACGAGGATAAGATACAGAGGTTCCAGATAACATATTGTATTTTACACGCTTCTTGCCTTCTTCCAATTGTGTGATCGAAGCAATAGGTGAATCCGTGAATATGCAGCCAAATTCGGCCCCCGGGGCACTAATATCCGGCTGAGAAACATCATACTACAGTTGTTATTTCCGTATCTATGAAATTTTATGAAAGATATACCGTAAGGCGACAAGAAACCTATACCTTTATGAAAGATCGTCTTAGTTGTCATTACGTACAATTGAACCAAGTGTACCGGCATCATATGAGGTTATATCCCCGCATTCGGCATTGCCTACCACTATCTTTCCCTTAACAGAATCACTGTCCAAGCAACCGCATTTACAAAATCTGACGTACAACAAGACTGTACTTCACTAACGAAAACTTCAATGCTCCGACTAACATTGCTTAAATCCAGTATTTCTGCCCCATAAATCATACATGATACATTAACATTACAGTAGTGTTTGTTCAAATTGTGTCTTCTTCGAAGTGTTTGTTCACTCTTTGACCGGGTTTTTTTAAGCCCTTTTTTTATCTTCGAGTTTTTGTGCTTCGAAAGGCATATCATGCACTAGGGTTTCTTTCGGGGTAGTGATTTTCGTACTCCTAATTTCTCCTTTACACTTTGCCCTTGTTTTTGTCCCTTGAAGTCGACCAAAGGTTGTGCGACTATCACTCCCCTTTCTATCCGAGTCTCTGCGCAACCATCACCTCCCCTTCTTTCCGAGTCCCTTGCAGTCGACCAAATGTCCACGGACTTTATGAAATTCAGGCAAGATGTCTGCGTGAATGTGCGAGCAAAATAGAGGTTGGACAAATCAACGATAAATGTGTAAAGCAGCCGTGAATATGATGACCGGTTGTTGTTCGAGAGGAAGCTGATTGCTATGTCATTCATCGACAAGCACAAATAACTTGCATGAGCTCTGAGAATACTGTAAACACAGAAAAAAACTTGTAAATACTATTCGACTTGGGTTTCTCTAATTGAGATTACCGTTTTTCGAAAGTGAGATTACAATATCTTGTAAGTTACAACTACAAGAATTTGACTACAATAGTGTCACGTATATATATAACTACATTTGCAGATTCCAGAGCTTGACACCTTTGCAGATTTCCTATGCTCTCAAGCCCTTTCAGAATGTCGGGTAACAATCATCCTCGCACATCCTTCTGGGCAACCACTAGAGGCAGCCGAATACAGGAACAGAAACAAATTTGATTTAAACCAACATAAACTGAAAAAAATAATCAACAAACATCTAAGCATATATGTGTGTCTGGAGGAGATTCCATAGAGTATTCTTACATGTTAATTATGATTTGGTCGCCCAAGAAAGAGATGTTACAATCATGTATGGAGATAATTGGCTGCCATCATCAATTCCAGAACCAATTCAGGTTCAATATGAAACTCCGTCTGCTTCCCGCTGTCAAAAAGAGTTGAATTACAAGTCAGTAATAGGGAGACGAGAGTAAATGAAAACTGGCCTTCTGATCAAGCTCTCGGATTTTGATTAGTTCCAACCAGCAACCATGGATAATTCAAGCGTCCATCAATATCTTGAAACCAATCCCACACTAAAAATTTGTGCAGCAGAATATACACAAAATATTCTGATTGTACCATCTCCAAGATCATTATTAAACAAGAAAAACCATTCAATCAAAACCTGTAAACCTAATACCAAATAGAAAAGTATATGGACCTAGAAAGTGTACTTCTTATACCGCTTTTGTCCTCTGTTTTGGGCTTTTTATATTCCCTGAGTTATGTCCCAAGACCTCCATATTTGGTTTAATATCTATCCAGTATTAGAAATAAGAAATCAAGTTACAAGAACGATAATCTGAAAAATAATCTAAACTATCCAGTACTATGGTAGACTGCTCCATATTATGCTAGACTGACTACCAACCAAAAATGAAACAGCATACAAAGGGGTGTGCTATTCACACACCTCATTTTACTTCTCACACACCCCTTGATAATTTATGTCCGTTTATCTTCTTCAATTCATCCGATCCGACGGCCAAAAATTAAAAAGGAGTGTGAGAAGTAAAATGGGGTGTGTGGATATCGCATCCCTATACAAACTGTCTAGGACCCTAGTCTGCTATACAACAGACTATGTCAAAGTATTAATCTTTGATTAATGATTGGGCGAACGGATCTTTGTTTGAATGTATGGTCTGTAATGACAGCCTAGCAATAAGAAAGTCTAGAGAACATTAGCCCTACTAACTTTACATATTGATCAATAAAATTCCAATTCAGAAGAAACCCATCAATCTTCTAAGCATTGACATGTAAATACCTCAAATATTACAACCAAAAGATTACAAATTTAAAACTAAAATAAGTAAAAATAAAAAAAATAAAAACTGATAGAGAGAGAGAGTCTAAACCTTGCAAATTGAAGGTTCCAGTAAAAGTACTTGCAGATCTTCTCAAGAATGGTGGTGCTGATCTCCGGGAACGTCACCTCGCCGTGCTCCGTCTCAGCAAAACCCCCTACCAACAAAAAAAAAAGATTTCACCTTGCAATTTGAAACCCTAATCCCCAAATTGCTTCTCTAACTCAAATCAATTTCAAACCCTAATCCCCAAATTGCTGCTCTAACTGAAATCAATTTCAAACCCTAATACCTGGAGAAGTGAGCATGTTGCGGATGGTCTGAGAGACCATGGCGGCGTCTTTGTGGATCACGAACTCAAACCCCTCGGCGCTGATCAGCTTCACTGTGTCTTCCTTCTTCATCTTTGCGGTAGAAGCCGATTGAGATTCGACTGAATTGTACGGAAGGGAACCGAGTTATGAACTCAGTGAGTCAGTGCGTTTGGGAGGAAGAAAGTCCCGTGTATTTATCTGATGGAGATGGATTCTAGCCGCGGCTAGAACCGTAGGAATCGGTTTCTATTAGCAACTTAGATAATTACAAAATCCCTCCCTCCATTTTAGTGGTTGTTCACTTTGATCCTCAATTTGTTTTTTCTGTCTCAGGTTGGTCACTAAATTTTAAAAAATATGATAAACAATAGTGACTCTCAGTTACAAAAGTCGACAAAACAAATGGTAGTGAATACAATTCAATTCGTGGGCTATTTGGTGTAAGTAGAACCACTTAATATAATACAATGCAATGTAAAAACTCAATTTGGTGTAAGTAGAACCACTTAATACATGTTATATTTAATTTTTCAAAGTAGAAGTCTTGTACCCTTGCAACCAATTCCACATAAGCCAGTAATGAGGTTGTAATTTGGTTCATTTAAGCAAACAACTTGAGCTTAAGATGAACCAAACTGAATCACGATGTTACAAATAGAAATGTGCAATTTGAGGCTTAATCGAACAAAACCGAACATCAACCAACCCTAATTCATGATTCGACGTCAATGATGATTGTCGTCAATATTATTACAAAAAAAAAGTAAATTATTAGCAACTAGCATAAGTCGTATACGCACAATTTACCTACACGTTTAGAAATAATCAGCCAACCAAATAATCAGCCGGCCATGGCTCTGGCGACTGTCCAAACCGCAACCAAATCTAAATTAATTAATTAATTAATTACGGCGTGGGAAAACACTACAAAAATTTAAAATTTTAAAAAATAAAAACATCCCTCTGGCACCAACCCGCCAGGCCAGGCTGCCTACTGTCTCACTCTCTCTCCCAATTCAACAAATCAAAGATCCCCAGTTGTCGCCGAAAAACGGCACCGTTTCGACCACCAAACAAAGAATCTATTTATTTGCCGTTTCAACTTTCAGAAGCCCCCTCTAGTCCCTCATCGTTGCTTCCGCTTGTTCACATTTTCTCCTTCCCCAAAACCCCCCACCGTGCTCTCCGCCCCAATTCCTTCGGTTCCTCCGATCGAACTCTCCGATCGCGTTCTCTCCTCTGTCGATTCGCCTCCGGGTAAGCGAGATCTATAGATACAACTGTTTGTGTATGTATAGGTTGCAGAGAAAGAGAGATTTGTGTGATTTTTGATGGGTTCGAATTTTTGTGTGTATGTGTAGGTTGTGGAGATCGGAGAGGGGAGACGGCGGCATGGCGAGTAGAGTAGACCACGAGTACGACTACCTGTTCAAGATCGTGTTGATCGGTGACTCTGGTGTGGGCAAATCTAACATTCTCTCTAGGTTTACCAGGAATGAGTTCTGCTTGGACTCCAAATCCACCATCGGAGTCGAGTTCGCCACCCGAACTCTCCAGGCAAGTTCGCCTACTGAGCTTTGTTCTTCGTTTTTAGAAGTTTGATTAGTCTGTTTGGTGTTTAATCTTGGTGTGAAAGTTGATTTGTGCTTCAATTGTTTGATTTTGTCAGCGTTGTCGATATATTTGTTTGTGATGGATTCGATCTTATGTGGTTAATTTTTGGGAGGTTTCGGAGTTTGAATTATTTTGGTTGAATTTTTGTTTGGGTCGCTTGGAGATTGTGATTATTGTTTGGATTTTGTTTAGGGATTTACGTGTTTGATTGGAGTCCATCAGAAAATTTGTTATTAATAACTTGGTGAAACGGTTTTGGATTGGTTTTTTAGTGCTGTGTTTTTAGATGGATTGCTTCTTGTGGATAGGGTTGGCAATGGTTAAATAAACCGGTGGGATAAACAGCCGTCTTTTTGTTTGATAGAAGCTGGGATTAGAATTTTATTTCTAGGAGTTGAACCATTTGAGCATTTACCTGTTGTTGATCTTTAAGTTGTTTAACACACTAGGGATGATTTGCAGAGTTCAAGAAAGAGGAGTTGATTTATGAGCACTTACAGGTGGATACTTAAGTTTGATTCTTAATTAGAGCCAATTTTGTATAATGTTGTGGGGAAGTATATGCGGAAACACGTGTCTCGGTTTCTCCATCCTTTGTATTTAGAGCATAATAACCGAGTATGATACGCTAAATAACCGCCCAATATCTTTCGTTTGGAAGACTGTTGGTTCGTTAGGTTTGTTTTGTGGGTCATACTGCCTTTTGTTGGTTTTTTTTATATATAGGCAACTATATGAATATGGCATAGTTGAAGAGAGAGAACTGGAATTTCTTCCCCTGTTGTACACGCAACTGAGAAGTGAAACATCATGGCTCAATTGAATGTGAAGTTATTCCAGAAACGTGAAATGTGTCTACTGGACCACTGGTCCGAGAGCATATTTATGAGTTTCTAACATACAGTTGTCACTTGTCATTGTAGCGTACCGTTCAATATGTTGATGAGTAGAAAGAAGTCTGTTTATACAACAATTGGGTTTGCAAATTATGGCTTACAATCTGATCTAGCTTAAATTCTTCCGTGTCTGAAATTTACAGGTTGAGGGAAAGACTGTGAAGGCACAGATCTGGGATACAGCAGGTCAGGAGCGATACCGTGCTATCACCAGTGCATACTATAGAGGGGCAGTGGGTGCTCTCCTTGTCTATGACATAACTAAGCGGCCAACTTTTGAGAATGTCCAAAGGTGGCTCCGTGAGTTGAGGGACCATGCAGATTCGAACATTGTTATCATGATGACAGGAAACAAGTCTGACTTGATCAATCTCCGAGCTGTTTCAGAGGATGATGGTCAGTCCTTGGCTGAGAGGGAGGGTCTCTCATTTCTCGAGACATCAGCACTGGAAGCAACCAACGTTGAGAAGGCATTTCAAACTATTCTAACCGAGATCTACCATATTGTCAGCAAGAAAGCACTGGCAGCTCAAGAAGCAGTCTCAACTACCCTACCTGGTCAAGGAACCACCATCAACGTTGGTGACGCTTCTGGGAATACGAACAAGAGAGGTTGCTGCTCGACATAAAAGATGACACACACCTAGGGGGAAGGAGGGGAAACATTTTGCTGGATGCCAGCTCTTTTGATTTTTCTCTTTTTAGTTTCTTTTTTTTGGGTGACAGGGAAGCATGTAGAATACAAGTTTTACTTCGTCGATTTGTGATAAGGAAGCTTTGTGAAAATTATAATGACAGTAGTATCGATACATTTTGAGGGCCTGCTTTTGCTTCCGATGCACCGTTTTGTTATATGTCGCTTGATATAAAGTGTAAGTACTGAAATTTGGAATGTCTGGTGGAACTCGGCATCTCAAATTAAAGAATCAATGGAGAAGGAACCTTGTGTGTTCAGAGTTTTAATTTTTCGGGTTTCGTTTCTCAGTTGCTTCTTCCATTCTAACAAACGCTTCAATACCGCTTTCTCATATCATTCTAGACTCATTTCTTCAGCCTTTTCCTTTCTGCTGCCTTCGCTCTCGCGATCGATTGCTTGTGGCGTACAATGGTGGTGGCAGTTTCATGGTGAATCGAGAAGGTTAGGGTTTTTGAATTCTTTGGGACATCCGGACGCGAACATTTCAATTGCTTGCACAAGAAGTCAACATGATTGGTGGTAAACTTATTGCAGTCTACTATTCAATCTGTATAGTTACATGATGTATTCTGTAAGTACTTTCACAGTAATCCCTAATCTCGTCAATTATCTGACTAGAACTTACTGCAGGCTCAGCCGTTACATGGCAAGACAAAACTGTTTTTCCAACCGTTAGCGCCCAAACGTGTAGGTCGTGAATTTCCTGAACCCCTTTGATGCACTTGATGCCCTTTTCTAGCCCGGTGATATCAATCTCGCTTGGCGTTCTCTCCATCAATATGCCATATATATTTTTGAGCATCGATATAGTTGTGCTGACAGCAAAAACAGAAAATATGAGTGTGCAGATAAGATCGACTACTAACCAATCTGGCCTTGCCCATATGATGCCTCCAGCAATCATCACCCCAACGGACTGAATCATATCGGCGATGACATGCAAGTAGGCTCCTTGGATATTTATGTTTAATATTTTAGTCTTCTCCACAGAATTTGACACCAGACTTGTTTTGTCCTCTTCAAGTATTGCACTTTCTTCCTCCTTATGATGATCGTGATTATGACCATGGTTATGATCGTGACTTCCATGATGATGATGATCGCGATTATGACCACGATGATGATCGTGATTGTGATCATGGAGATGGTCTTGACCTAAGCCTCCACATGCATGATGAGTGTGATCGTGACCAAGCCACACGACCATGATAAGGTTGACAAGAAACCCAAATGCTGCGACTGAAAACATGAGTGGCCCATTCACCTTTTCCTTGTTGTGAAGGATCCTGTTGACTGCTTCATAGATCAAGATCCCAGAGACCAGCCATATGAGCTGCACAGAGAAAAGGGCGCTCAAAACCTCAAGACGGTGATATCCGAAAGACTGGTACGATGTTGCCTCCCAACCTGAAGCCATTACTGTGAAAAGAGCAATAGAGAATCCAATAACATCAGTGAGCAAGTGGGCTGCATCTGTGAGTACTGCAAGGCTGTTGGCTTTGACACCACCAATAATTTCTACAACCATAAACAAGAGAGACGCGACAACGAGTCCAGAGAGTTTTGTAGCTGACTTTGACCGCTGTTTTGAATCCAAACTACAATGCTCGTTTTTGGAGAAAACACAGACACACGAGGAGGGACGCAACTGTGGTGGCACAGGAAGAGTATCAATGCCTTCAGAGACCGTTGGGATTTCAATTTCCTGAGACTCTGTTCTCGTAAAGGGTACCTTCTCATGTTCCATGTGCTTCAGAAAAAGTGATGGTGTTAATTTCTTAAAAAAAGAAGAGCAAATGAAGAGGCCTATTTCCAGATATTAAGCAAGGTCGGAATATAAAGCGCAGAAGGGCAGGTTGCTGCACAGAAAAACAGAGCAGCTGTGCAAGCGAGCACACAGAAAACCGAGCTAGCACACAGCTGCTCAGAACCAAGTCATTCCAGCTCAAAGACCAAATCGGCAGAAAGCTGTTTGGCATTGGGCAACTATAACTCATGCAACAGCTTTAATGTTAATCAAGCTTTAGCTAAATTCTGTGAGATTAGTTACTAGCACGGATTTGTTAAGCTTAGATGGAAACTCTCGTGGTTCGGTCAACTTGGTTTCACTGCGTGTGCAACCATGTGTGTACGACTGTTACACATTTAGTTATTGAATGAACGAAGAACATTATCGTTCCATTCTTCGTAGGAAATGAAAAATCTTGGATTTTCATCAAGAGCCACCTCAAACACCCCTAACCCCTTCATCCTGTTGGACCCCGAAAATGGTAATACCTATTTTATTTTATTTTTCCCTACAATCTCATGCCTCTATGCAGTGGCGGATACAGGATTTTAAATTCGGGGGGTCCCAATAATAAAGGTAAAAAAATTTATAGATAAAAATAACATTGAAAAGTTAAATATAATACACTTCATTCAAAAATTAGATGGTGCTATTGGCTTTGGCTTGAAAAATCTTTCCATATTTCTCATTTCTAAACTACACATTTAACCAAAAACACAAATATATACCAATCAACCAATAAACAAAAATTCCATCTAAATTGCAATGATAAAATGAGTATACAAACATAAAACATATCAACAACCATATCAATAATAGACTAAAAATCTCCACCAATATCTAATATAATTTAATTGAGATTAGATTAGAATACCAAAAAACATACGTGAACTTTGAACTAAATAGTGGTGGCTTGGAGAATTGAAACAAGTGGAGGTATGATATTGGAGTAATGTAATTATAATATGAAATTGGGTGGGATTAGGAATTGGGTGGGATTAGAAATTGGGTTTTGGGTGAATATAAGAAAGATGGGGATTAGGGGGAAAAGCAGAGGAGTGGGGAAAGGAAACGGGAGGGACTCTCGGGAAGGATGCGGCCCATGTGGGGCTTTAAAAGAATATGGAACATCATGGACAAACAGCAGAGTTTGTCTCATTGATTTTTTTTATTAAATTAAAACAATTGGCCAAAACTATGCCGTTTTGGACCAATTGTTAAAAGGCCCTGTTTTCTTTCTTCTTCCCCTCCCAGCTGTCTTCTTCTCCATTAGAACCTGCAACTCCAACCCGTAGCACATACCTCGTGTCGAGTACGAGGGGTCCTCCAGAAAATTTCTAGCAGCAATTTAGGATCGCCGAGGGGTCCTGGGACCTCCCAGGTCCCTCTGTAGATCCGCCACTGCCTCTATGTGCTGCACCAAGAACCCGAAAACTCGAAATCTGGGTAGCTTTCTGATTCGAAAAGAATCAATCATAAAACACAGTTCAACGCCAAGCATCCAACTTTGCAACAGACCCATATAAACTAACAGACCCAAATCATCAAATTCCATAAACTACCATTAAACCAATACAACCATATAATAAAAATCAACACAAAGATCAAAATACCAACTTGAAAATGCAAACCAAAGAATCCAAAAACCCAAAAAAATGGAAAAACAAAACGGAGGAAGAGAGCTCAATTGGGAACGATGGAGGAGTACCTGAGAATCTGAGGAGAGACAAGTAGAGATTTTGATGGGGGATTTCACTTGCAAAAGAAAATGTTCCATACTAATGGATTCGGATCCATAACCATGGGTTCAATGTACGAGATCTTGTAGCACTTACCAATGAGGCCTATCGATTAGTATTACACAGAAGAAATCAATTATAGACACTAATATAATTAGATCAGCTCTTCATAGACAAACTTGGGATCGCTTGGGATTTGCGATCCCAAGTTCTCTCTCTCTCAAGGGATGAAATCAATAGGAAGAGAAATGATTAGGGTTTTTGCATACATGGAAACTCACTTGTCATTTGTGATCCAAGTCCCACACGTTCTCTCATCTCTCATCAATCCGTGGGGCAACGGCATTCAGCTTTGACGTTAAAGACATCGGAAGCAGGACGAAATCAGGGGTTAATTCAATTTTCGAGAAAAAAAATCCCGAACTCCCCCAAAATTGATTGGGGAAAAAGTTCGGAGATTTCTCAAATTTGGAAACAAGTTGAAGTTGGGCTTTTGATTGATTTTTCTCAAACTTTGGTAATTCGGGAGGGAAGAGGGTACTCTTCAGATCTACTTTGTCGCGATGCTAGGTTAGGTTAGTTGTATAACGTCTGATTAGTTTTCGTCATTTTATATAAAAAATTAAATTATTTCTGATTACACGATATATGATGAATAATAAAGATATGTGAATTTTTAAAATCCTTACAAAGTAAATGTAGAATCTAATTCCTTTTTTGGAGTACTTTGTAGAATTATACGTTGCGTTGGGAAACTAAAGTTAACTTTTAACCGTGAGAAATGGCAAAAAGGTGTCAATATTATAAAACTTTTAAGTTACTTTTTTTATTAATATTATAAAATATTATGTTATAAATATAATGAATTAAGAAGTCTATAATCATGTATTAAATCTTTTGGCAGCCATTTAGGCCGGTTTGGTGAACCGAACAATATTGGATCTTAAGGATATGATTTTTTGTTTTTAGCCTACTTAGAATATTATTTGATTGACAAAAACTTATAAGATAAGACTTATAACTCATGTATAAGTTGAATATCAGAGTACACGATGAACAAAACTATAAAAGATTACAAAATAATAAGAATATTATTAAACAAAGGAGAATGCCGAAACGGCTACAGAATCTCAAAAGACTACATTGTGAATGACATGTTTCTCAAACTAAATTACAAGAAATATTTATAGAGAACTAAACCTAAGAAACTCTAACTCGGATGGGCTTGGCCCAAATCCTAAACTAACAAGTAAAACCTAAATACTAAAATAAACCTAAATACTAATATTTTCCAACACCCCCCGTCAAACTCATGGCGGTACACGACATGGGTTTGCCAAAGTAGATGTGGATGCAAAACTCCAAATTCTAGTGCCGATGCCGATGTCGATACCGATGTCGATGCCCATGCTGATGCCGATGCCGATTTCCATTCCAAGTTCAAGCTACCATGCCCAATGCAAGAATACACAGGCCACAAAACTATAAAAGATTACAAAATAATAAGAATATTATTAAACAAAGGAGAATGCCGAAACAGCTACAGAATCCCAAAAGACTACATTGTGAATGACATGTTTCTCAAAGTAAATTACAAGAAATATTTATAGATAACTAAACCTAAGAAACCCTAACTCGGATAGACTTGGCCCAAATCCTAAACTAACAAGCAAAATCCAAATACTAAAATAAACCTAAATACTAATATTTTCCAACAATATAAGGATACGTTAGATAATTCACTCTAATGTGGATCCATAATCCATCATGTTCATCTCACATTTTAACACAACAAATGACGACATGGACTGAATCCAAGTCCATTTTAATTGATTGCAACCTATCTCATAACCCACCAAATGGAGTTTTAGAGTTAGCTCGGCCAATTATTCTCCGAATTTTTGTGAACATATTTTTTTATTTGTCCGTGTATTTTAATTCCATTTGCATATCTATTGTAACATGGAATAAAAGAATAATCTTTAGTGAATGAGATTCATGATAGTTGAAGGATGCCGTGCATGAACCTATGTAATGAGACTAAGTACTGATTTGGTGCTGATGTGTTTTTATAAAAAGTGGGTATATTTTTGTGAACATATTTTTTTATTTGTCCATGTATTTTAATTCCGTTTGCATATCTATTGTAACATGGAATAAAAGAATACTCTTTAGTGAATGAGACTCATGATAGTTGAAGGATGCTGTGCATGAACCTATGCAGTGAGATTAAGTACTGGTTTGGTGCTGAGGTGCTTTTATAAAAAGTGGGTATAAAAAAAGCTGAGCTCAAAAATGTGTTTGGTAAACACTTAAAAACAACTTATTTTCATAGTTTTGGGTGAAAAAAAATGTTGAAAACGTGAAGCAGCAGAAATGAGCTTATTCTCATAGTACATCAGAAGCAGTTTTTTTTTTCAAAGCACAACAATACCAAACTAGCCCTAAGGGCAGCCGATTGCCAAAATATTAACAAATGAATAGTAACATTGCTTCACCTCATACAAACTTACACGATATGACTGTATGAGATTAGAAGAAAATAAGCATAAAGAAATAAAAGGAACTTTGTGGCCGACTCACAAAACTTTGTGCTAATAATCGAAATCGTCTATAAATATAAATAATTCTTGATGATCATCTCTGTAAAAAAAAAAGCAATTAAAATTAATATCATTTAGTGAATCAATTATAACAAATAGATAGACAGTTTATAATATTTTTACCAAATTTGTCCATTTGTTTATATAGCTTATGACTGAACGATCTTAGTTTTAATTAACTTTTTATAAAACATCTTTACAAAATAATTTATAAAATAAACAATTTCATTTATAAACTCGAAAATTTTGTGAATAAACTGCAAAGTACTTTAATTCCTCCTCAATCCTCGGGGAGTCAAGTAACTGAAATAACGGAATGGGCTTAGACCCGGCCCGCAAACCGTGAAACTCTTCCAAAAGTTTTGAAACAATTGTCTCTTTCATTTGGGCCTACGGACCGTTAGAAACGTTTTCTACACAGCCAGCCACCGCCTTCTCTCTCTGTGCCGGATCGAAACCATCACCGAGAGAAACCGCCGTGCAGAGGCTGCAGCGAGAGCGACCGAGACGGAAACTACCGTCCTTACCTCGCCTTCGCTCCGCCATGGACTCCCGCCACGCAACTCTCGGCCGACGAACGGTACGGATCTCATCGCCATCGTTTACTTTCCTTTTCTCATTGAATATTTGCATTCGAAAATACGTAATTCTCCTTCAATTTTGTTCATTTTATTTGAATTTTTATCAGTTGGAAGAAATTCGCCAAAAGCGAGCTGCGGAAAAGTTGAGCAAAACTTCGTCGGGACCCGATCTCAGCAAAATCTCGATTCCAATCGGTTCGCTATCTTTCTTTTTTTTTGTTAAATTTGAGATTTTTGTATTTTCGCTGAAGTTTTTGATTGCGCAGATAATGGAGGAATGCGAAAATCGGAGAGCGCGAATCGGCTCTCTGAGGTAGGAGCTGATTTCTTCATTCATTATCTGTTGAGAAAAGAAAATTTTCGGAATTTTGTTTTTAGCGAAGAAGGCTTTGGTGTATTTAACACAATACGTTGAAATGAAGGAAAGCTTATTTATTGATATCCCCGATAAGCTACAAATATGTACATATACATGAGTCAAAATAAACACACAAGAGGGAGCCTTCACAAAGGTTGCTTAGGAGAAGTCTCAGCAGTCGGTAGAGCCCCAGAAAGAGAAGGCACCGGAGGGGGATCATTTGGAGCCTCAGTACTGGACAGAACCCTAGAAGGAGGAGGCATCAGAGGTTGATCATTTGGAGCTTCATTACGCGGTACAGCCCCAGAAGACGAAGGCAATAAATGCCTTTGGAACAAACCCACAAATCTATGATGATCAAGTAAAACCTGACCATCAGTTTCCTTCATCTGGTTAAGCTTCCTCTTCATGTTTGTAGCATAGTCATGTGCGAGCCGGTGCAACTGTTTATTCTCATGCTTGAGCTCTCTAATCTCCTGTTTGAGACTCATCACTTCAGCCGCCAATGATTCAACTTGGCGGGTTCGAGCAAATAGGCGTTGGGCCATATTAGACACAGAACCTGCACACTGAACACTGAGAGCCAGCGAATCCTTAACAGCTAACTCATCAGACCGTTTGGAAAGTAGTCTGTTATCTTTGGGAGTGAGAAGGTTCCTGGCCACCACCGCAGCGGTCATATCATTCTTCATCACGGAATCCCCAACGGTAAGAGGACCAGTTGAGGAGACGAAGGATGGGCGCCATATGTTGTCTGGAGAAGGCGGGGCTGCCTCTTCAACAAGGTTCAAGTCAAAACGACGGTCGGAGGAGCCAGACATTTTCAAAGGTGTTGAAGAGAGAAGAGGTCGGACAAATCAAGATCTTAGAAGTGCAAGAATGAAGCTTCTACTGGTGGAGATTCAAGTGTGCTTTGGAACTTAATGCCAGCCTCTATAAAAATCTGCACTCGACGGAGCTTCAGAAATCGAAGAGGCGCCTGCTCAGAAATCGAAGAGGCGTTTGCTTTCTCAAAAGTTGGGCTGCTTAGAGATCACGAGGGTTGATCTCAGAAATCGAAGAGCCGTTTGCTTTCTCAAAAGTTGGGCTGCTCAAAGACCACGAAGGCCGATCTCAGAAATCGAAGAGGCGCTCGCTTTCTCAAAAGCTGGGCTCCCTAGAGACCACGAGGGCCGATCTCAGAAATCGAAGAGGCACCTACTTTTCCAGCCTTGTCAGCACCTGTCACACGCACACTCAGCTTTGCAGAAATTATGGGCATTCTGTCAAAGACTTCTGGGGAAGTAGAAAACACATGAATCTTACTGTTCAATCACCAACTTCCCACACGCAACAATAGCTCATGGGTACCACAGATAACTTTGCCAAAGTTCTCTGCCAAAGTTGAGCACGTGAAGCTTGCAGCTCCCACTACATCGCTCTGACCAAGAAGGGTAAAAGAATAGCAAAGAAACAGCACTAACAAAGTTTAGACCCATAAATTTTGAAGGTCTAGCTACCATATTATTACCCACAAGGGTAAAGGAACAGTACCACTGCTGGATAATTGGAAAGTCCATGTATGTCAACCTCTGTGCTTCGTGGCAAGGTAGACTAGCAAACATGCCCAACCTTTACTCACATTCGAGAAAACACTCCCAATAAGATTGCTTGCTCCAAAATCGAAGAGGCACCGTCCTCCGAATCTAAAGAGCCAGACTCCCAACATGACTACTTTCTTAAAAATCGAAGAGAGGGTAAAGGAACAGTACCATTGCTGGATAATTGGAAAGTCCCTGTGTGTCAACCTCTGTGCTTCGTGGCAAGGTAGACTAGCAAACATGCCCAACCTTTACTCACATTCGAGAAAACACTCCCAACAAGATTGCTTGCTCCAAAATCGAAGAGGCACCGCCCTCCGAATCTCGAGAGCTACTCTCCCAACATGATTACTTTCTCAAAAATCGAAGAGACACTGCTCCCCGAATCTCGAGAGCCAGACCCCCAGCATGATTGCTTTCTCAAAAATCGGTGAGGCACCGTTCTCCGAATCAATCGAAGAGG